AAGGGAGGGAGGCAGGGAGGGAGGCAGGGAGGCAGGGAGGGAGGGAGGAGATCCTCCCACTGGAAGTAATGAATTTTTTTTTTTTAAATCTTCTTCTAAAAAGCCTAATTTATCTCTCTCCCTAGAACCCCACTGATGCTTGCGGTAGCATATGGACACATCGATGCTGTTTCATTGTTACTTGAAAAGGAAGCAAATGTAGATGCGGTTGACATCATGGGATGTACAGCTTTACACAGAGGGGTATGTATGTCTTCCTCAGCTATAGTCAAGCAATTTAGTAATGAGCGTGTTTCCTCTTTACTTTTCCATATGAATGTTTAGTAGAAAGATTGATTCCTAAGAAAACCAATTAACCTCAGTCAGTCTAAAAGAAATTCCAAGTCTTTTGCAAAAGTAAAATAATGGCAGATATTCTTAGATCCTGCTCTTGAGATTTCATGTTAGATTGTGATCATAGATACAGGACCTCCTACTGTTGGTAGAATTGGTTCTGCTTTCTGATTACAAATACGTGCACATCATAGAAAACCTGCAAAAGGGTTTTTTTTGTGTGTGTTTTTTCAAAGCACAGAGAAGAAAATTACAATTGCCAGTAAACCTACCTTTTGGAGATAACCATTTTTTGGTTTATATACCCAATTTTTTTTTTTCTGTATATAGGTTTATTTAAAAAATTTCTTTAAAGAGAATACTAAAGATACTATTTGGAACCTACTTTTTTCTTTTAAAATATCAAGAACCTTTATCCATGTCAGTAAATATTTTCCTGCCCCATCATTGTTAATGGTCCATTGTGAGCAGGTGTTATAATTTATTCCAGTGATTGCTTAGTTTTGAGTAGTCATGCTATTTCTAATTCTCACCTGAAATATGTATCCTGCTGAAATATGTATCCTGTGGATAGTTCTTTATACACATCTGCTCAGTTGTTTTTTAAAGCATGTTGAGGAAATGAAATCAAACAAAAGCAGAAATAAAAGTGCTACTTGGGCTGGTGCTGAACACCATGGTCAATGAAAAGAAGAGGAACTCTAAGTGCTCAAAGTCATAATCATAGTTCTTATATTTGGGTACTTTCCATGGGCCATGCAACAGGCTGGGGCCTTTACGTATCTTATCTTATTAGTCCCCACAACAACCTGTGGGGTCATTATTACTGTTCCCATTTACAGGTAAATGAAATGAGACAGAGAGGTGACTCGACCTCTCCATGTTTTACCGGGGGAAGCCAGGATTTAACTCACATCTTCCTGGTTCTAAAGCTGATGTTTTCTACTATATCATGATACCTTTCATGGGTATGTTTGGAGAGTCAAGAGATGTTTCCAAAATGCTGATGTTCACATGGCCTTTTCTGATATGAACTTTGCTGGGGGGTTCTGCCTCTCTCCTCTGAAGTAGGGCAGAGTTTATTTCCCGTAAGGCCCAGACATTTATGTCCTCTTAATCTGGGTGCAGCTCACTTAGCCACCTGTTTCACTTCCTGAGTCTTCTGCCCTTCTGACATTTGTTTTGTGTTTTTACTTGTCGTTTATCAGATTATGACAGGACATGAGGAATGCGTGCAAATGCTGCTAGAACAAGAAGTGTCGATTCTCTGTAAAGATTCCAGAGGGAGGACACCCTTGCATTATGCAGCTGCGCGTGGTCACGCCACATGGCTGAGCGAGCTGCTCCAGATGGCACTTTCTGAGGAAGACTGTTCTTTCAAAGATAACCAAGGCTACACACCACTGCACTGGGCGTGTTATAATGGTGAGTTGATTGTTGTTTGACTGATTACAGGAGGTTTCCTATGAACCCAGCACCACTGTGATCTCAATGGAGGTGAAAACATAGCATAATGCTGTAAACCTGGATTTCCAATCATCCAAGATAACTTTTGCTTTTATGGCTACCATACCTTAATGGAATAAAAATTCACTTTTTGTTAATTAGTAACATATAACTACTAATCAGAACTTCCTATGAACTGAATAACCAGTTTTAATCAAGGTTTCTGATCTACATCATATAACCAGGGATCATACAATGAATTAAAATAAGGCAGCTAAAACCAAAATATATATATGATGTAATAACCTGTCACAATTGACTGCTAGTCAGGCTGCTAGATGAATGATTTGTCTTTTGGCATTTCTCTTTTTTATCACATTTCCCCTATTTATTTTGTTGCACTTGTAATTCAGAAGACTTAAAACTTTTTATTTCACTTATTTGAGTAAAAAAGAAATGCATATTAATCATAACATTTCAAAAAGATTGATGTGTCTAAGGTAAAATTAAATCTCCATGTAATTTGGTGTGTACCTTTAATACTTTTCCCTTGAGAATATAAATAAATACAAGTATGTGTGTCTGATTTTTTTTCTACTAGAATCAGATAACAACTATTATTCTATAACTTTTTTTTTTTTGCTGTTGCTTTCTTAACATACCGTCCAGTGGTGAGGCCAAGGTGTAATCGCCACCAGAACAAGAAGGTATCTTCAGACAGAAAAACGAAGCAGGCAACTCCATGGAATATAACAGGAGTTATTACAGGGTGATCTCCTTACAGGGATCTAGGGCCAGAGTGGACAGACGACACCACACTCTGTGCAGATTATTCTCCGCTAGCAGACCCCTAGTACAGTGCTTTTTTTTATAGTCTAACTGAGGTACTAATGGTTGACAAGACTAAGGGACAAAGAATGCAGTTAAAGAATGCAGTAGCACCTGGGGCCATACCTCCTGGTGGTCTTGTGATGGAGGAGGGTTTATCATTGATACTATCGCCAGTTTAATATTTATCCCAGTTGTCATGACATCCTGGCCGTTACTAACAAAAATATTTATGGTGCATTTTATGGAACACAGATAATCATCAACTAGAAGGCTCTGATATGCTTGCTAGGGAGAGGGAGGTTGACCAAAGGTCACAGCATAAAGGAAATCGGGACACAGAGTCAGTTTTGTCTACTTCTCCGCACATTCTACTGCAGATATTCTTACAAGTTATTATGTGTCGTATTGATTGATCTTGGTGTATTTCAGAGCAAATAAATACAGATGTGTGTATATATCAGAATTTATTATTTATTCAACCAGGTTCCTATTGATGGACATTCAGATTTTTTTCAGCCTTTTTCCTGTTACAGTGCTGCAGTGTGTATATTCATGTTATTATGTACCTTAAATTCTGTCAGATAAGTTTCCAGAAATGAAATTATTGATAAGGGGACATGTATGTTTTCTAATTTGATAAATTATACCATGTTACTTTACAAAAAGGATATAATTTATTACTCCTGCAAACATGTATAAAATTTACTATTTCCCCAAGCCTTTGCTAGCCCAGGATAATAGCATCTTTTTCAATTTTGTGACTTTGGAGAGCAAAAAATGTTATCTCATTATCTTGGTTTGTGTTTCCCTGTATAATAGTGTATTTATTTATTTGTATTTCCTCTTCTGGAAATAACCGTTTCCATCTATTGCTTTTTTTTTTTTAATGAGTTTTATCTTTTCTCATACCTTTGTTGGAGCACCTTGTCGTAGAGATATGAATCCTCTGTGTGTGTTCTGTGTGTTGCAAATATTTTCTCTCAGTCTATCATTTAACTTTGTTCCTAGTTTATGATGTTATTTTCCATGCAGAAATTTTTTCTGTGTAGTTGAATCTGTCATGTTTTTATTTTATGGGATCTAGGTTTCCAGTCTTGCTTAAGGTCTCCCACCCCTAAGTTTATATGAATATTTTCCCATTTATTTCCCACTCTGCATCTACAATTTTATTTTTCTATTTCCAATTCTTGTATTAAAATATTCACTCAGAAACTTTGATTACTAGGTCCAGAAAGATTTTCAGGGTGCTCTAATTTAAGAGATTTCCTTTCATTTTTGTTATAGCCCTCTTTTTTCATTGGCTCTTGACCTCAGTAAGGGCCAAATTTTCTACTTGCTCAACTTGGTTGTCCCCTCTGCCCCTGGAGAATTGTGTTTTTTTAACCTACTAATGAGTGAAGGCTTCCTAACTCCCATCTAGGTTAAGCTCTGAGATCTCTCTGGCAGGAAGGGGAAGATGCAGTAAGGATGTTGGTCATAATGGCAGGTGGCAAACCCACCAGACCACATTCCCTCCCCTGAAGTGTGTGTGTC